AGGCAACTATGGATCTCTCTGATACTGTAGATTACATTTGTCTTTTCTAGAGTGTTTAATAACTAGAATCATATAGAATTGACCCTCAAACAACACAGGTTTGAACTGCATGGACCCACTTATACATGGATTTTTTTCAGTTGACCATGCAGTTCAAACCCACATTGCTCAAGGGTCAACTGTAGTATGTACTCTTCGGTCTGAAATCTTGCACTCAGCATGATGTTTTTAACATTCATTTATGTTGTTAGGTGTATTAGTAGTTAATTCTGCTTTTTCTTTTTTCTGAGTAGTATTCCATTATGTGAATACAGTATACAGTATACAGTCATTCGGGTCTTGGTATCCACGGGGTGTTGGATACCAAAACCTATACCAAAATCCTCAAATGGTCAAGTGCCTTATATAAAATGGCACACGAGGTCTGACAATTAAGTTTGTGAACTTGCCACTGTGCGCTTACATTGGCAGCACTGTACAAACAGCTTGGTAAGGTTTCATAACCTTGGTATATCAGTGTCTCACAGTTGTGTTCATGTCTATGTGTGGTGGTGTCTTGCTGAGTGGCATTCATTATTGTGTGTTTTTGTGTGCGGTCGCGAGAATGTCTGAGCTTGAATTAGAGCAACGAACAAACATTAAATTTCTTGTTAAACTTGGCAATAGTGGAAGTGAAATCAGGGACATGTTAGTCCAAGTTTATGGGGATAATGCCATGAAGAAAACAGCAGCGTACAATTGGATTAAATATTTTTCTGAGGGGAGAGAACACGTCACTGATGAAGACAGGTCAGGGCGGTCAGTAATGAGCAGAATGGATGAAAACATTGCAAAAATTCATTAAATTGTGTGTCAAAGTCGTCAGCTGACCATGAGCAGCAAAGCAGACCAAGTAAACATCGATAGAGAAACAGTTAGGAAAATCTTAACTGAAAATCTTGGCATGAGAAAGGTGTGTGCAAAAATGGTCCCAAAGGGGGCCAGCTAAGTGGGGCGTTGGTTAAGAGCTAGCTTGGGATGCCAGAGGGCCCCGGTTCGGATCCCACATATGAGGGCCAGTGACATTGCCCTCTACAGCTAAGATACTGAACAACAGCTCAACCTGGAGCTGGGCTGCTGTGAGTCGCCGGCGACAGCATAGGCTGCAGTCCCTGCTGCAGTGGGTTGCCATGGGCTACCGTGTGTAGCCAGCAGCCAGCATGAGCAGCCAGCAACTGCTGTGAGTGGCCGTGCGAGAAGCTGGCAGCTGATCTGCCTCGCCCGGGAGGAGCGCAATGATGGTGCCAACTTGGGCCAGTGAAGCAACGTGCTCCACAACTAGACTTAAGAACAAAAGGACAGCAACTTGTCTGTTTCCCTTCCCGAGTTCCCCAACACTGTTCTCCTCCCCCAATTCCCCAATAAAATCTTTAAAACAAACAAACAAAAATGGTGTTGCTAACCTTTTTTAAATTTATTCATTATGAATTTGTACCAGCTGGACAGTTAACCAAGTTTATTATTTGGAAGTGCTGAAAAGGCTGTGTGAAAAAGTTAGACGACCTGAACTTTTCACCAACAATTTGTGGCTCTTGGAGCACAACAATGTACTAGCTCACACAGCACTGTCTTGTGAGGAAGTTTTTAGCCCGTAAACAAATAACTGTATTGGAACACTCTCCTTACTCACCTGATCTGGCCCCCAGTGACTTCTTTCTTTACCTGAAGATAAAAGAAATATTGACAGGAAGACATTTTTATGACTTTCAAGGGTAATACGACAGCTCTGATGGACAGTCCAGAAAAAGAGTTCCAAAATTGCTTTGAAGGGTGGATTAATGTTGGCATGGGTACATAGCTTCCCAAGGGGAGTACTTCGAAGGTGACCGTAGTGATATTCAGCAGTGAGGTACGTAGCACTTTTTCTAGGATAAGTTCATGAACTTAATTGCCCAACCTCGTAGTATTTGCATATAACCTACATACATACTTCCTGTATCTCATTTCTCCCNTCCCCTCCCCCTCCCTCCCACAAGTCTTTGTGTAGATACATGTTTTTATTTCTTTTGGGTAAATTTTAGGAGTGGAATTACTAGGCTTTATAGTTTTAAGTGTATGTTTAACTTTATAAGGATCTGCCAAACTGTTTTCCATGGTTTTATACTGTACATTTCATTAGCAATGTGCAAGAGTTTCAGTTCCTTCATATCTTCTCCAGTACTTGATATTGTCAGCCTTTTACTTTTTAGCCATTATGTAATGGGTTTGTGGTGATGTCTCATTGTGATTTTTATTTACATTTTCCTAATGACTAGTAATGTTGGGCATCAGTTTATGTGCTTATTGGTCATTTATATATTTGCTTTTGTGAAGTGTCATCTTAAATCCTTTGCCCATTTTTTTTGTTGGATTATTATTTGTTAATATTATCTTAAGCTTGAGCTTAAGAGCTGTGGGAGCTCTTTACACAGAGCGTGCCAAAAAAATGTATACACATTCTAAGAAAGGAAATAACTATTAAAATTGTAATAATATATACCAGTAACAAAAGATGAATACAAGTCATGTTTGACTTATGCAATTACAGAAGGTGCTCAAAGTGGTTACCATCAGCCTAATTTTAATACAGTTTTTTCCTTTCTTAAAATGTGTATATATTTTTATGGCACCCTCTGTATTTTGGACACAATTCATTAATCATGTATACGTATTACAAATCTTCTTTCCCAGCCTTTAGCTTGGTTTTTTGTTTTTTAATGATGTCTCTCAAAGAGCAGAAAGTTGTAATTTTGCTGAAGTCCAAATTAATCACTTTTTAAAAATAGTTCATGCTTTTTGTGTCCAATCTAAGATGTCTTTGTCAATCTGTGGTAAACAAAGGGGTTATCAGGGGTCTCAGATGACCTCCCTGATGACCCACACCATATAATGTTTTTCCTGTGAGGGTGGGCAAGACCTGTGAATATGATGAGATTTTACTCTAGTGATTGTGTCATATTTACATGGAAAAGAGACATTAAAGATGTAATTAAGTTACTAATCAGTTGACTTTGAATTAGTCAAAAGGGAGATTATGCAGTTAGGCCTAATCTAATCACGTGAACCCTTAATATCTGGGTCCTGAAGTCAGAGCCAGAAGTCAAAAGATTTGAAACATGAGGATTAAACAAGAGGCAGTTTTTTTCCATTGCTGGCTTTAAAGATGGAGGGGTCCATATGGCAAGTATTGTAGATGAACTCAAGCAGCTGAGAATGGCCCATGGATGAGAAGTAGTAGCAAAGAAGCAGAGACCTTAGTCCTACAACTGCAAGAAATTGAATTGTGCCACAACCATATGAACTTGGAAGAGGATCCTGAGTGCCAGATAAGAGTGTCAGACTGGCAGACACCTTGAGTTTATCCTTGTGAGACCCTGAGCAGAAAAACCAGCAACCCTGTGCCTGGGCTTCTGACCTTTAACAGTGGTAATTTGTTATGCAGCAATATAAAATTTATACATGATCTCAAAATTGTGAAGTTTTCTCTTATGTGTTCTTATGCTTTTGGCTTTTATATTTAGGTCTAGGTCTGATATCTTTTCAAATTAATGTTTGTGTATTGCTTGAGACTAAGGGTCCAAGTTCACTTTTTTCATATGGGTATCCAGTTGTTCTAGCACTGTTTGTGGAAAAGACAGTTCTGTTCTCATTGAGTTGCTTTGGCATTTTTGTAGAAAATCAGTTGCTCATGTATGTGTGGTTTTATTTCTGGAGTCTGTTCTCTTGGTTTATATGTCTGTCCTTATACCCATAGCATACTGTCTTGTTCACTGTCATGTAGTCTTCCAGCTTCTTATTCAAAATGGTTTTGGTTATTTTAAGTTCTTTGCATTTCTATGTAAATTTTACAATCAGCTTTATATCTTGTAGTTCTGCAGTTATTTTTCTAGATCAGGGTTTGTTTGTTTTTCAGTGAAGCATTTTGGATACATTTTTCTGATATATTTTCCAGTTTATTAATCCTCTTTTCAGCTATGTCTGCTCTAGTGGTTAACCCATCTATAGAATTTTTTTTTTATATAACATCTTTATTGAGCTACAATTTACACACTACAAAATTTACCCTTTTAAAGCATACGATTCAGTGGTTTTGGTGTATTCACCATGTTGTACAACTATCGCCACTACCTAATTTCAGAACATTTTCATCCCCCCCAAAAGAAACCCAATACCTATCGGCAGTCATTCCCCATCCTCCTCCCCACAGCCCAGGAAGCCATTATTCTACTCTGACTCTGTGGATTTGTCTATTCTGGACATTTTATATAAACGGCATCATAAATATGTGGTCTTTTGTGACTGGCTTCTTTAACTTAACATGTTTTCAAGGTTCATCCATGTTGTAGTATGTATCAGCACCTTATTTCATGATATGATGGAATAATATTCCGTTGTATGGATGTACAATATTTTCTTTATTCATTCCTCAGTTGATGGACATTTGAGTTGTCTCTACGTCTGGCCACTATGAATAATGATACTATGAACATCTTTGTACACATTTTTGTGTGCACACTTGTCTTCATTTCTCTTGGGTATATTCTGAGGAGTGGAATTGCTGGGTCACCCGGAAACTATGTTTAACATTCTGAGGAACTTCCAACTCTTCCAAAGTGACAGCGCCATTTTACAATCCCACTGGCAATTATGAGGCTCACAAATTCTCCATTTCCTCATCAACATGTATTATTGACTGACTCTTCATTTCAGCCATCTTAGTGGGTGTGAACTGGTATCTCATTGTGGTTTTGATTTGCATTTCCTTGATGACTAATGATGCTGAGCATCTTTTCACATGTTTATTGGCCATTTGTGTATCTTCTTTGGAGAAATGGCTATTTAAATCCATTGCCCATTTTTAAAAGTATTTTTACTGCTGGGTTGTAAGGGATCTTTGTATGTTCTGGATGCAAGTCCCTTGTCAGAGATATGATCTGCAAACATTTTTCCCATTTTGTGGCTGTCTTTTCACTTTTTTTCACCTGTTCATAAAAGTAGAGAGCTCTCTCAAAGTTCTTCAGCCTGGTGTAGATCATCCCTCCATAATAATAGTAACATAAAAAGTGCTTTGCATCATAGACTCCATTCTCTTTACAGATATCCATCATATCCATGTCAAGATACGGAAGGGCAGGCTTAAAGCATTTTGCTAGCAAGCAAAGCTGGCAGAGGTCAGCGTGTATGGAGGCCAGCTGGTTTGTGTTCATCTGCATCTTGTCTATGGCTTGCTTAAGGACGCCGATTCCTCGCAGGGGCTGTTTTTCTTTCCACAAGGGCATTTGTTAGCTGATGGCAAAGCCCAGCAAAAGTGTCTGTTGCATATCGAATGTGCTCTCCATTACAAGTACTGATGAAAAGCTGAAACTGTGAGAATAATGTTTCGAAGTCAGGAACACTGGGCATAGAAAACTTCATAAACAACACAGTGAGGACGCCCAAGGAGTGCTCTTATTCATCCAGAGCACCCAGCACAGTGTCCAAGTGGGATAGGTTCTTTGCAAGGGGTTCCCCACTCTTGTTGATCAGTTCACAAAGCTGAGTCATTTGCCCTTGAGCTGAGAGCTGTTGGACATTGTTCACGAATTGCTCCAATGCAGACGCCATGTTTCCCCTGGGCAGCCCAAGCCTAGAATTTTAGATTTCAGTGACTGTTTTACTCTGAAAGTCCCATTTGGTTGTTTTGTTTCTTTTCTACGTTTTAAAAAAGTGTTTCATGTCTTAAGGTTTTGATGCTTTTATTCTGAATCATTGTTAAACACTTATTTTATAGTCTTTATGAGACTGTTTTTTTTCTAAATCCTATACAGTTTGTATTAAGGGTTTCCATGGTGGTTTCATTTTTGTTTCTACTAGAGATGTCTAGGGGCATCATTGGCATGGGCTAATTTTGTTAATTTCCCGGTGGTGGTGGTGGTGGTGGTGGTGGTGGTGGTGGTGGTGGTAGGTGGTCCCTGGATCATATGATAGAGTAAATTTAGACTTCAAATTCATATGAAGTGTGTTTCTATGGTTTCAAATTCTCAAGGGGAGCCTGTTTTCACTGAGTGCACAGACCTTGGAGGGTCACAACTTTGCAAGAGGTCTTGGATCCAACACCGCACCTTTCTCAAGGACCTTTTCTACTTTTCTCCTGCTTTCTGTCTCCTTTTCTCCACTTCTCTTGGTTAGTGAAATGTCTTAACAAATGCTTCTGGGGCAAATACAGAGGTCAGCACATACTTCTAGCTATGGCTTTTGGTTCACTCTTTGTTTCATACCACTGGCAGTTTTCTCTACTTTCTTGAGAACTTAGCTAAGTTTTTCAAAGGATGTTAGCATTTATCCAACATTTCTAGATTTTAGTAGCTGAAGAATTTTAGTAGATTTTCTAGATTGCTGTATTGCAAGATAAAAAAGGTAAGAATGCGTGCTTTACAGACTGAGTTTAATGTACAGAAATATTGGGTGTTAGCCAAAGTATAAAATTACTTTTTACATATTCATTTATTAATTTATATTTTTAAAAGGCAGCTCTTCTTTGAAAAAGAGACCAGGAGCCTGATTTTCCTGTCTGCTTCCTGAGGAAGCAAAAAGGCAGAAACTTGGTGAATAGCAAGACCAATAATTGCTATGTAAGAATGGGACTTCCTGGCAATGGCTCTATTAACAGTAGGTAATGGAACCATGACAGTGTCTCTCTAATTTGCCACAAAGTTTAGTTTCCCATCTTTGGTGTAGGAGTTTCTGCTATATTAAGGAATTGCTTTTCCAGTTTATTTTATTCATTCAGTCAGACAGTGATTACAAAGTCTCACTGGCTGTGTACATTGCACTATACTTATAATTGTCAAACAATTTACAAAACTCATGATAAATTCAAACAAGGCTTTGAAGCTTTCCATTTAGCTCCTTCTAAAGGGAAGCCGTTTTCCTCGTGTGGCTATTGATGTGCATTGGTTATAGGAGCTGTTTAACCAGGAGGTGAGGGCATAGATTTTGGAATAAGATATGCCTGGATTTGAATCTCAGTCTAGCCACCTACCAATTGTTTGACTGTGGACAAGTTATTTAACTGCTCTGTGCCACAGTTTCTTCATCTGCAACCTGAAGTATCTATTTGCTGTGCTTGTTTTGAAGTTAATGTTAAATACTGTACATTACAGTTGGACACAGTGCCTGACACATAATAAGCACATAATGAGTGGGTATTATCCTGATCCTTGTCGAGCAGCTGCTTTTTTTCCTCCGATGACTCACAGCAGCCCAGCTCCAGGTCGAGCTGTTGTTCACTATCTTAGCTGTAGAGGGCAGTGTTACTGGCCCTCATGTGGGATCCAAACTGGGGCCTTGCTGCTCAGAGCTGACATCCCAAGCCAACTTTTTTTTTTTTTTTTTAGGATTTTTTTATTGGGGAATTGGGGGGATGGGAACAGCGCTGGGGAATTGGGGGAAGGGGAACAGACAAGTTGCTGTCGTTTTATTCTTCAGTCTAGTTGTGGAGGATGTTGCTTCAGTGGCCCAGGTTGGCACCATCACTGCGCTTTTCCTGGGCGAGGCAGATCTGTCGCCGGCTTCTGGACGGCCGCTCACACTGGCTGCTGGCCACTCATGCTGGCTGCTGGCTACATACGGTAGCCCATGGCAACCCACTGCAGCAGGGGCTGCAGCCTACACCTTCACCGGCGACTCACAGCAGCCCAGCTCCAGGTTGAGCTGTTGTTCAGATTCTTAGCTGTAGAGGGCAGTGTTACTGGCCCTCATATGTGGGATCCGAACCGGGGCCCTCTGGCGTCCCAAGCCAGCTCTTAACCATCGCGCCACTCGGCTGCCCCCAAGCCAACTGTTAACCAATGTGCGGCCGGCCTGAGCTGCTGCTTTTTGATGTGTCTGGTTATCTCTAATTGGTAATCAGTCACTTTGTTGGCATCTTCCAAGATTTGACCAAGGTGATTGTTTTGAAGAACCAAGCAACATTTGTTGGCCTTTGAAAAGCAGAAAACGCACCCAGAAAAAATAAGTGAAGCAGTTACTAAAGCATTGAATAGTAATGATCATTATTATTGGGTTGTCGGAAAATGCATGACGCATTTTTGCAACAAAAAACATCATGACTTTTCCGACAACCCAATATTTGTATTTAATAAGGAATATGCTCCATGTTTGTCTGATCCTCTATTTAATACATTTTAAAATTTACTGCTTTTCTTTTTCCTTTAAACCTTACTATCAGGTTCAAGAATAAGCTAAACTAAAAAGAAACTGATGTCTTAGAATAAAGAAAGAGTCAAATTAGTAGGGTATACCATTAACTATCATGATGGTGGAATTTTCTCTGTACTGGTTAATTTTGAACTAGGGGAAAGACTTAAAGGAAGAAAGAGCCCTTTTATACATTGTTTACAGTATGTGTTCTAGGGACTCTCCTAGTCTCTATGGAAATTATTAAGACATAGTTCTTACTGTTAGTTGAGGGAGGCCATAAACAGTTGCAATAGTTTGTGACAAATACTTTGCTAGAGGTAATGATTGACTCTGGTCGAGAGAGGAAGGAATTGGGACAATTAGGATTTGGGGCTTGTCAAGGGGGAGACCAGAGTTGACAAACTGTGACCTGGTGACTGTTTTTGCACAGCCCACCAACTAACAATTGTTTTTACATCTTTAAATAGTTGGAAAAAAATCAAAAGAAGGATATTTTATCACATGTGGAAATTATATAAATTTCAGTGTTCATAGAGTTTTATTGGATTACAGCTATGCTCAAACTTGTCTGTGGCTGCTTTTGTGCTACAGCAGCAGAGCTGAGTAATTGTGACAGAGGCTGTATTACCTGCAAAGCCAAATATTTACTCTGTGGCTCTTTACAGAAAAAGTTTTCTGACTCCTGGGATATGTGGTTCATTTTTATCCACTGAGTTAAGCAATTGAGGAGGAACAGATATAGGATAAAATAACATATTTCTATGAGTGTTGGTTATTTGAATCAGAGGTGCTTGTGAGATGTGCGGGTCTAAAGGCAAAGGCATTCATAATTCATAGATCTGGGGTTTTGAAGAGAAGTGAGGCTGGAGATAGGGGATGAAAGGATGAGATCCAAAAGACTGGATGGAGGAGTGGTTCTCAGCCATTGCTGCACATTGGAATCACTTGGGGTACTTAAAAACAAACAACCTCACATGCTGTCACAGACACTCCCCACCCACTCAACTTCCCATGCCCTGTCTGGGTGAGGGGAGTAGTGATTTGGGCACCAGGATTTTTTAAAAACTCGCCAGCCGATTCTAACGTACATCCAACTTTGGGAGTACTGGTATACAGTGAGAAGTTTGGTACCTTGAGGAACACAACATTTCAGGAGCAGTTCTAGATCTATTGAGAAGAAATGCTGAATGAGTGATGGTGGGAATTGTGGGAGTGGTCAGATCCTGCAGTTTGGTAGAGTAAATAAGGACTGAGAACTGTCCTTTGGAGATCATTGTTGACTTTATCAAAAGCAATTCCTATAGAGACTAGGGGTGAATATTAAAGGCTTTGAGGTAGGGGAGGAGAGATACTTATGTGTGAACTATTGAGAAGATTGGCAGGGAAGGAAAGAGGGGGGAAGTGATAGCTGGGGGGGTGGGGGAGGAACACTGGAGATATAGTTTGTTCAAGAGAGGCATTTCAAGATGATAAAACTTGGAGCCTGTTTATGTGCTGAGGGAGTCAGCAGTCAGTAAGGAAACTACCTGGAATGACAGTATCAGATGCCACCATTCAATTTTCATAGGAAGAGGAAAAAGAGCTAGATTTTGAATAGTTCTTGGAATAATACTAATATTTTCCCCATTTTGGAATTGTGTGTTTAATGTGCTTCCTATATTTAGACACATTACCAATATAGCTGGAAAGAGAAATGGACCTAGGTATTGAGAAACAAGGCCAACAACTGTTCTTTGCTCACCCAGTCACTGTCATCCTGTCTGGGGTGCTGATCTCACCTGTGAGAACAGGAGGGTGAACTGAATAGGCTCCATGATCTCTTCCCAAAGTCTTTAATTTAAACTAATGCAACTTTTGATTTAAAAAATGAGGAAGCTGAGCTTACGAGATGTCTATTAAGTTCACTGCCTAGTCTTTTAAGTTCCTAAGTACCTAGGCATACCTATGCCTTTTTTGAGGAACTCCCCAACAATTTGGTTATGATTCACCCCTCAGTGAATTTGGGCACATTGTTTACAAAATATACCATATTTTCCTGCCAAAACAATATTTGTTCAGGAGTAAAATCTAGCATAAAGTCTTCCTTTAATTTTTTTTTAGTTATGTTTAAGTAATAGATGATAGTTAAGGAATACTTAGAATAGTACAGAAATTCCACCATTGTTGACATTTTGGTTTATTTATTGGGAGTCTTTTCTTGCCCAATGGTTTTTGTTTCTCCATCAGTGTAAATACATTTAATATATGTGCCAGTTGGGTTCTCCAGGAAGCTGACTGAGACGGAGTAGGGCAAAGGGCTTTTTGGTGCAAATGTAAAAGGGGCTACAGACTTGGCAAGCTCAGTGGACCACATGGAGGTCTTGACAAACTCAGTGATGGAAAGAAACAACACAAGATGGTCCAATCATAAATTCCTAACTGGG